TCGGGAATACATCGTAACGTTCTGGAGTCAAATGATGACCGTACTAAAAAATGACCGTACTAAGAAGATTTTAGAATAGTAGAAGTATAATAGTAAATCTTTGTAGAAGAAAGTCGGCTGAAGCCAGAGTTTTTTTCACAACATATCTGGATTAGACCGGTTCCCTCCTTTTTCCTTTGTTTACAAACCGACGCCATTTTGTGTCACAGTTTATAAACCTATTGCCCCATGTTTTTTTTTAAATTCGTGTAGCTAAGGAGGTTATACACCTACCTGCATTTCAAATCCCAAATAACACATTCAATGCAATGTTCAGCGTTCTATCTCTAGCAACCATTGTCGATCACTGTCGATGCTAATTGTTTCAGTTACTAGTACTCGCGCGTACCGACACAAACTACAAAGCTTTTGTGATTTTTGTCAAAATTATTTCTTCAAACCATGGAGCTTTAGGTTCCAACCGACGACTTCGACACGGTTGCACGACGGAACGGATGGGGATAGTTTTAGATTTACCATATGATGTCGTCCAAATAAGCCAAGAAGTTTTAAAAAAACATACGGTGGGGAAGTAAATTTTATTCTCGTTTGCTACCGCGACGTAGTTTTGACTTCTCTTTGTCATGGTACAATGATAGGCGTCCACTTGGGGAAATATGAACTTTCCCTGATAAATACGATATATACGACTGGAAAAATTCCTTGAACTGTAAAAGAAAATCTTCTCAAAGGGCCAGTATCGCGGTTGATTTGCATCGAGCCACCGTAATGTTGTCTTTAAAACTCGCGCCCGGGAGGACAACAATAGGGCCACGCTGGTCGAAATTTCCATTTCACTGGCCTTCCCGGGAAGAAGGTGAGAACGAACTGCTCTGATCTCACCCGACGTCCTCATTATAACTCTAAAACAAACCCCCTGTTCCACGTGAATTTTGAACTAAAATGCAGAAAATGTATTTTGAGCAATATCTCCCGATCCTATCGGTAGAATCCGATAAAAAATACACCAATCGGAAAAGTAAACATTTGGCCGCCATCTTGAAAAAAAATGACATGATTCTCTTGCGCCGTTATGGAATTATGGGAGAAAACATACTAGAAAATCGACAAAATAAGTTAAAAACTCACAGACAACAAAAATTCTACAAGAGAAATGAAATTTAAAGGTCCTAAAGTTTACAGTATGGATAAAACATATGTTTGATGCGTAAATTAGCGAAATGTAGCGGTAGGTTAAAGTTCAATGACCCAAAATGACCTTATGTACGCATATACAGTCGGCGGGAAATTTGAATTGCATTCTACGTTGTCATTTCTTATTTTATACATATTTGGGGAGCGAACTAAATTTTTGTGTGTGTGTGATTCTTTTTCTAACTTCATAATCGCATCGTGCGTTATATTGGGCGAAAGTTGTGTTGTTTATTTGAACACTGCCGCTGCTCACTGTGCACCGGGTTGTGGGCGGGGCCTATTTGCTTTGCAACGAGGATTTTAACATAGCAACGGGACCACCGTGCCAAGTATAGACTTATATTTCAAAGTGTGTGAGGTGAAATATAATTTCTTAAGTGTTGGTATTGAACCAAAACATTTCTCTTGTGTACTACTTGTCCATTAAGTTTGAGGGTTAGGTGTTTCACCTTGCAGGGTACACACAGTGACAGAAAATATGTATTACTTCATTGTGATGATTTTATGCTGTGGGTCTATGAAGACTTTATCACATACAATGAATGTAAGTAAACCTGTAAGGAACATACAAAAATAACACGAGTCGTCTGTCCCAACCATGCAGGTCGCCACATACTCAAGGACAACACAGTTGAGGAGACTCCTGCCAAGAAGCAGCTGTCTAACGCCCTGTGGCAGAAACAGGAGAGGGCACGTCTCAGGGCCAGGACCAACTCTGAGGTGTTTGTTGTGGGGGAGTCTCCAGTCAAGCCACTCACTGCACCAGGTTGGTGTCTGGTTCTTCTGTCTGTTAATTTTTTAAGTATTCTGTTAAAATACAGTGTGTAATGCAAAATGTATCATGAACTTAGGATACTGTTATTCTTTCCCACAGGTACAGAACCATTAAGAAGAAGTCCAAGGAAGCATGTATCTAGTTTCAGGAGGCGGCCTTCCTTCTATGACCCCAGCAAACGATCTCGGTATGTTGTGTCCGCCCAGAGAGTGGCTAAGAAAATCCGCGGCTGCAATACCTCACCGTTAAAGATAGACTTCACTTCTCCACGGAGAACTCCCAGAAAATCTCCTGCCAAGTTCCTCCTGTCAGAACTGTTAGGATCTGCAGGTAAAGACAGTCCCAGGAAGAAGACTCCCGAGTTGAGGAGAACACCCAGGAAGACAGGGCACAGTGCAGCTTCAAATGAAGCTGTATCTGCACTGGAGACACCAGAGAAGAGTTTTAAAACTCCTACGAAGAGAAGCAGATGTGGTCGCAGCTCTACAAGACAAGCATCCTCTATTACACCAACAAAGAGTAGAGGGACACCTTCAGCAAGAACCTTTCGGACACCAACAAGAGGACAGTCACCTTTCAGATCACCATCTGCCTCAACAACACTAACAGGAACACCAATGAAGAAACAGAATGCAGGAATCAATGAAATGTGTGTAACACCTCAGAAGATGGTTAGTAGCTCAACATCCTCTCCAAGAAGCAAAAAGCTGAAACACACCTCTGCTGTATCTAGCCATGAAGAAACAGGCCTACATTTACCAGAGACAGTGACCAGCGACTTGTTGATGACCCCTTCTAAGAGAGTCAGGCTGGAACTATTGTCCACAGGATCATCTCCTACTAAAACCAATCAGCCTCCTCCTGCATCAGCAACACCCAAAAAGGGAATCCTGAAATCTCCCTGCAAAATGTTCCTTCCAAACACAAATACTGAAATTGCTGACACTCTCAGGCCGTTCCCAAACCTTTCTTCATCACCGGGAAATGTCACAGAGTCACTGAATCTGAACAAGTCTCCTGCTTTCAGCACACGCTCCAAGCTCCCTGACACACCACCACAGGCTGGTTCAACCACCCATTTCTTAGCCTCACCCAAAGATGCTAAAACAAAAACTCCAGACTCTATCAGCAAGTGGCCCAGGAAGAAGAGGCCAACAGACTCCTCTCCTGTACAGAGCTTGAGCACACCCAAGCCTACTACTACTCCCTCTCCAAGAACCAAGACTCTGGTGGGAAGGCTGGAAACAAGTTCAATATTGCGAAGGTCACCGAGAAGTAAGAAACCTAGCAGGGCAAGAGGGAGGCTCGATGTAGGTGAAGTGACAGAGACGACAGATTTTTTGGATGATATTGAGGTAGTGAATAGAATGGCAGAAGACAAACCAACTTGTGACCAGGAAGAGACAACCGTGTGTGGAAAAACTAAGGTCCCTGCAACCTCACCACTCTCTGCAAAAGGGCTTCTTGCCCTTACCCAGTCCCCGATATTGACAAACATGGCATCACAAAGAAAACGCACATTTTCAGGATCTTCTAAAGTCAAAAATTTAAGATGTAGCATAAAGTCGCAGTCCAAGTCACCAGCTTCAAGTAGTTGCAGTCAGCATAATCAGTCTTCTCCAAGTAAACTACAGCTGACTGTGAAATCCACTGGAGGGTGGTCACTGTTGAAGGAAAGAAAGAGAAAGAGAAGTGGAGGACAGTACACAGATATTAGTGGTGCTGATGTCTGTGAATCTACAAGAAAGAAGAGTAGGACTGACTTTAGTAGTAGTCCAGATGAAGGTCTGAGGAGTAGGAAGAACAGGCTAAGCTTGAGTAGGAAGAAAAAGTTGCAGAAGGAACTAAAAAGCAAGTCTGACAGTCAGGAAGTGGACATGGATATCAGTGCTTTGTCGTCTGCAAGCCTCAATCTATCCTCAGCTGACGAGGATGTGTTTTATTGTGTGGACAGCTCAGTTGGAGAAAGAGACAGGACATCTAGAAGTGCAAAGCTTCAGTCAAGTCATGACAAAGGAACAGCCAGTCTCCAATGCACTCCACAAGTCAAGAAGAAATATCCCTCAACTCCTCTCTCAGCACATGGCCTGCTGAAGCTAACTCAGTCCCCACTTCTAACAGGTAGATGTAATAGTCCTACATGTACTGCATCACCCTCATCCAGAACTCGGAGTAACTCATCACTCCAGTCAGAAGATGTGATCGATTACATCTCACCTCCTGCAAGTCCTGAGGGAGACAGTGCCAAGTTGCCCCTGTCCATGTTTGGATCTTCTCACAGAGAGTCACTAAAGGAGAGACCAACATCACCCTCATCTAGTGCAGGACATTACCTGTTGTCATCCTCCCCTCCCAACAAACCAAAGTGTTCCTCAGCAAGTAAAACATCACCTCTGAGCAGGAGATCTTCACTTAGGTCAGGAAAGACCCCAACAAAGTCCAGCGTTTTGCAGAGGTCTCCAGTTACATCTTCAACAGTTTCAAATTCTAGTCGGTCTCCACATAAGAGCAGTGATAGCCACAGTCAAGGAAGTAAGACTTCACCTAGCTCCTTGAAAAGACAGAGGCTGTCTGTTAAGACTCCACCACAGTCCAGTGAGGCCGTTAAGTCTCCAACTTTAAGGAAATCACCGAGAAACAAGAAGAAAGCTGGTGTGAAGAGAAATCTTGGACAGCTGTACAGAGCAGACGAAGAGGTGTCACATGAAAATGTTCGACTGAGCAGAAAAAAATCTGTTCAGAGTTTGTGAGTTCTTCCTGATTTGTGTTTGTTATTAACGTCAGCAGTATTCAGGTTAAAAGAACTACAACATGTAAAGAATAATTTTGCAGATAATGGTATGCTTAGATCATATTGGATGTCTCAATTGAATGTCTAAAGATTCAAAATGTAGGATGTCTTATGAATCAGACTTTGATTTACATTTTTTAGTTTTCGTATAAATTTTGATGAATTGATGAACAGTATTGTTTTATGGAGACAAGGTCAGTTTTATAGTTGCTACCACAATTTTTTTCTGACTTTTTACTCCGATCAAATTGATGACTCAGATTGTATCACTATGGTACGTGTAAGTTTCTTTGTTCCTTTTATATAGTGAATTGTTGAAAGAAAAATTTCCATTCTTTGCAGAAAGCTTCATACAGTTGTGACAGATGATTACTAAAGACGATTTAGTGATATTCTTTTAAGTTGTAAGAATGTATTTCTTGAATGTGAATCTTTTGACTAATGGCCTGTTAATTTTATGCTTTTCCTCATGAAAATTCCCAGGTAACCACTGTTATGTGTTTGATGTCTATAAACCTAACTAATGGCAAGAGCTTTCAGAATCCTTATGATAAATAAATTGTCAGGATACATTAATTTCTAAAAGAAAGAAGACTAACTCATTTCAAACCTCACATTCTGCATGCTTTAGATATGACAATGTATATTTTTGGTATGAAGATGTACAAATATAGTTATTACATTTGTATGCTAGTGTTTACAATATGTGTTATATACAATGTATGTGGTTAAGTTGAATGAATTAGGTTCAGATAGAAACCTTTGCAATGTACAATGTGTGATTAGCCTTTTATGGATACCAAGTACATGTATTCATAGTATGTTAGAAATGATTACTGGTGTACAAGCTGTTTTTTCCCTTCAAATGTCACTGTGTTCTGTATGCCTTGTGTAGAAAATAAAGATTTCCTGTGCTATGAGTTACTAGACAATTTGGACTCCTCAGTTGGTATAGAGTGCACCTTTATTCTGGAAGCAGTATACAATGTTTTATATATAATGACTAACAAAATACTGCTGCTCAGATCTAAACTGTACAATTCAAGTGTATTTTAACTTAATGGGATGACACCATTTATGTACTGGAAGATAAATTTGTCGACACTTTCAACATTGACCCATTCAGTAACGATATTTTTGCCTAAAAAGTGGGGCACTAGAGCTATTATGCTAAGATAACTACACAAAATCATCTGTACAATGTATATTCACAAAGTTAATATAATTTCTATTTGATATACAATCTCATACCGATTCTACTATTCCAAAGGCCTTGCATATAAAATAGCAATAGTTTAGTATACACAATAGAATAACTTCCACTAGTGTGTTGCAATGCACACAAAATCTACCAGGGGGCAGTGCTGACAGATCATTATTCTCCGGCAAGTGTAATATAGCATCATTTTGAGAAGGTAACCTATAGAGGTACAATCATATCATAGTAAACATCAGATTATCAAACTCTATACAAAAGAAAATAACTCCTCAATGCCCTTTGCAGGAAATTTTGGAAACAGATCTGAATTCAAGGGAAGGACATCAGACAGTATAACGTAAGAGTACTTTGCCAGAATCATTCGTGTAACTGAAAGAGTGCCCATGCCATCTTTAATTGTTTCCTCTGCCCTCCTCATCTGTGGTGACCAGTAGCTTCAGTCTAGACAGATGGTGTAGGGCCCTGCAACATTACCAACAGTAACAGGTTGTAAGTGTTCATGTCTGCATCATTTTATATGTTCACTTTACCAATGTCAAGTACAAGCCAAAAGTCATGAAAACCCAATCATCCATTCTAAAATGATTCTGTTTCAAAGTCTGCCACAAAAATCCCCCCTCCCCGCTTTAAATAATTTCAACTGCTGCTAGGAGGACTGCTGTAAACTTCTTTCGTCATTTTCTGAGCACAAAAATGAATCTTAGTAACCACCATAATTCTGACCATACATGACTTTGTAGCATACCCACATTACAAGATACAAAAAGCAAAAATTCCACTGTAGTCCCAAGGAAAGCCACCAAGGGAGGGGCCATCATCTAATCAACTTAGATACAATGTAGGTAAAGACCTAACCACATAGCAAAATTCATGACTCATAATCAATCCAAATCGTCTTGAGCTCTAATGTTCACAAAGAACCACGCTGCCAAAAATATAACATCGAGATAATGAAAGTATGTCAAGTACAATATACTACCGGTAACATTGTATTTATTACCTGAGGAATGATTCATGGTGCTGAGCTACTCACCTGTCTAAAGACTGTGCACCAGGTTCAGTACGGAACTGCTCAGGGCTCCCCTCCACAGGGGAGGGGATGTCTGTGTCATCTCCAATATAGGTCTGAAAATGGCGGAAGAAGTAAGAGGAAATAAGCACATGTATGTGCCATCCATAAGATGCTGATGTACATTTGTTGGTTATTGCCTATATTGGGGCACTATGATGGAAATAGTGCTTGTCATATGTATTCTGAAAGCGGCCAACACGACTCTAGGTAAAAGGCAATGTTCCCATAGCCTTTTTGAGGCCAAAGGGGCAGTAAGTTGTGAATTCACACTGTCTTGGTCATGGTATTGGAAGGCAGAATCCATCTCCTACCATGTGCATTTCCAACCTACATCAGGAAAGTCATGCAATATACCTTTCCCAAGGACGTAACATCTAGCCAGGAATTAAACTTCTGACATCTTAAACCTGTGTCTGTTACTAGTAGTTAAAATACTTGACTATAGAGGTCACAAGGGGGTGTACCTGTTCTTCTTCACTGTCATCACTGCTCACCCCATTGGCCAGTCTGGCTGTGGAGGCTTGAACTGACTGCATAGAAAACAGCATGTTCTTCAGGGCCTCCACTGGACCTGGCTGTTCTCCTCCTGTTAGGGTCTCTTCCTGGAATCATACAGAACAAAGCATTGCTTCGTATACATGCATCTCATGGATGGATTTTCAGTTCAACCTTGAAAGTGCCTGTGAGGCAATACACACAGTATGGTCTTTATACAAGACTATGCAACAATTTATGAGGAGGGAAATTGAGCATGCATTGTCTGAATCCTATAACGACTATAATTTATGATTGGCAAAGATTTCTACATGTACGTTATAACTTATATTTTTGCTGCATGGCCTTGAATTTGTGGTGACTTTTCTATCAATCAATAGTCATGAATAAAGGATAAAATGTATCTGTACTTCACAAAATAAACATACTTGTAAACATCTGCACACTGCATTTGGTCTTGCTATCTGGTGTACATTCTCGACCGTTGGATTATGAGTCACGTCCATAAGGCCTCTTCTAGTTATTATCCATCCCCTTCTGAAGCCAGACAATCCTCTATAAAGTTGTCTACAATGTTCTTTTTCCTTAAGAATCTCCTGTTGTCCCTGTCCCAAGCGCCCATACACTCCTGCATGAACTGCCTGATGATGTTGGGAGAGGTGGAAGTGGGAGAACGCACCTTGTATTCCGAGTGGTCCTCATCCATGACATCGTGGAGGAAGTCACCGATAATTCCTGTCCTCTTGTTTGCTCCTATTCTTCTGTCTCTACTGTCATTCTGTTTGTTGATAGGCTGAGGTTTTCTGCTGTAACATCAAAATCAGTATTGTCAATAATCAACCAGATTGTAGTAGCACTGCTTGAATAGCCATGCAGCCCTGGAACATTCTTGAGTTGCTGAAGGTATTTTCTGAATGTATACATTATTGTACATGCATATGGCACAACAGTTACTTTCGTTTAATTTCAAAATTATACTATGGACAAAAAGTGCATACTACATGTACATGTACTCACAAGTTTGTAACATGTCTTTCCCATGGTCTTTCTTCATTCAGAATCTCTTCTGTGTCCGGACTGCCTCCTCTTGTCTTGACCGGCCTGAGTTTTGGTTTGGGCAGAGGTTTGTTCAGCACTCTTTCTGCCTTGCTCAACAATGCTTTCACCTTGGAGTCTATCACATGGAAAACACACAAAAAAAGACTGTTACATGCATTTCTATTTCACCTTAAATACTTATAGTACTTAGTAAGTAGTAAAATTCCTACTCATCATCATCATATCTTGTCGGCCCACTGTTCCAGCCAGTCCAGGGCTTCCTGGTTTACATCGCACAGGTCTCGTTTGGTGACAGATGGTCCAAATTCGCAGTCCTGTAGGATGTGTTGCATGATTTCCTACTAGTAGCTTACTAACACAAAGCATAGCCTGGTAACTGTCCTGTTCTTGCTCCTGTATTCACCTGTTTGGTGGTTTGCTTCCTTTCCAAGTAGTCTGGCATTCATCCATTAATAGAGAAAGGATTACCATTTAAATAAGATTACAGGTACACAAAGCATTGACATGTAGAAATTTCTCAGTAAAATGACACCAGACATAACCCACCTGCACTCCTGCTGGAGGCTGTGCTGTTTTTCCTACTGGCACTCTCACTGTGGGTGCTGGATGTGGATGGACTCAGGTTCAGCAGTGGTACAGGAGGTTGGACCAACAGTCCCTCTGTGTCCAGGGAGAAGGCATCGTCTCTTGAGGGGCTTGTTCTACTCGATCCCCTCGGCCATTGCAGGAGCAGATCATTTGTGCTACTGGAGTCTGAGCCGTCCGACCAATAGATGTACTTGCCTTTTTGTCTGTTACTTCTCGAGGCGTGTTTCAAGCTTGTTTTTAACGGTTTGCTGTTTTCTGGTCTGAATGACACTGCTTTGTCTCTCCCGCTTCTGAACTTGTACGAGATCGGTCTGGTCAGTCTCTTTGGAGATATCCGTCTACCCAAGGCCTTCCTGGTGTCTGAGCCCCTGCTGCTGCCATTGAATAATGGCTTCTTGAACACTTCAGAGTCACTTGTGACAGGTTTAACACTGTTCCAGGTTCCTTCACTGCTAGCTAAGCCATTATCCCATCCATTTGGATGATGAGTACCCTTCAATCTCCTATCCTCCTTGTAAAATCTGAAGTCCTTATCCCCTTTCCTACTCCTCTCCCTGCTATCAGTAACAACCATGTCACCCTTCAGCTGCTTTAGTCTTGACAACTCCTTCTTTATCCCATTCTTTTCTACAGTTGACAAAAGCTTGCTGGTATTTCTTGATTTCGACTTTGGAGTTGACACAGAATCATCTTCTAAATCTGTCCTACTCAGTGCCTGGGGTCTACGGTCCATTTCCCCACTCAGAAGTGCATCAACAGACGGGTAATGTCGGAGGTAACTTCTACTTTCCTCACTAGAAATCCCAGGGTTTAGTGGCAAGTCTGTCACATCCGACCTCGCGGCGTTCGTCACACTACTTATACCTGATACGTTCAGTTCCTTCAGCCAGCTTGGATACTTTCCCTTCGGCCTGTCCAGTGCAACTGAGGCAGAGCTCGGCCTTTGGGCAGCTGATGAGTATCTTGCATCGTCAGCCTCAGATGTGGCTCTTGTTACACTACTTATTCCTGAAACATTAAGGTCTTTCAGCCAGCTTGGATACTTAGGCTTTCCCGATGGAACAGACCCAGATTGAAGTCTATGTACATGTCTGTAAGAGGATTCTCCTGTTTCGCTACTTTTTCTAGTGATACTGCTAACTCCCGAGACGTCCAGGTCTTTCAGCCAGCTTGGATACCTGGGACGATCCAGGGGTAGTGATCCTGACCTTCTTCTGAATTTCTGATTGGAGAAGTCCTCTGGAGCAGACCGACTCGTCAGCAGTTCTGTCTCCTCTGCAGAGTGACTCTGTCTGTATTTACCAACTCCTCCTGATCTACCAGACTGAAGGTACAGATCTGTGTCCTCTGATGAGTACCCACTCATGTGTCTACCTGGCTTTGGTACGTAGCTGCCATTTCTGCTGCTGGAGGATGCAAACGTGACGCCCTGAGGTTTGGAGATGTCATCCAGACTGGCAGAGGCATTGAGCCTTGTGGGGTACCTGTCCAGCGAGGAGTGTGGAGTCCAATGTTTGGACGTGACGTGAGAGGGTGCCAAGATGAGAGCATCAGTGGCCAAACTGTCAATGTCGCTGGGAAGGTGGCCGGCAACAATTGAGCTACCTGGCAGGGGGGAGAGCTGTCCACTGGACTCGTCGTGAAGGACTTTGGACGTCTCTATCAAGGCTCGTGCTGCAGTGACAGAAGGGATCATTCAGGAAATGGTTAGTGTTTGTTCCATATACATATGTGTTTGTGAGAAAAGGGAGGGAAACAACACAGCTCCTGTGGACACACTGGAGTCTTTGTAGAGACTATGTATACAGGATGGTTTGCAGAATGTATTAGGTGACTAAAATAACATGACTTACTGACACTAGCCAATAAATTGCTTAAAATTGGAATTGCTAGAATTACGATAAAGGTTAACAGCTGCAGTACATCCTTTGGAACACTACCGGTAAGTCTAGTAAACTAATCAGTCTGTAGTTATGACAAGGATGAGGTAGTTACTATAATAGACATTGTGTAGCTAGCCTTCTTGTTCAAAATTCAACACAACTTTCTAAACTTCTGTCTAATCTATAGAATATTACTTCTTGGAGTTAAACCAGACACTTTAAAAGCTGTCTTGAATGATTTGAACATGAGGTTAGTCAAACAAAATTCTTTCCCTGCACAAATAAGATTTCTTACCCCTCTCCCTTTCTGAGTCTGCTCTTCGCATTTCCTCATAAGAGGCATCGATGAGGGCTTTCGATGACAAGCTTCTCTCTCCTCTGTGTTGGTCATGTTCTTTCCTAGCAGTGGATGTGACTGTTAACTTCTGAGGAAATGGTGACAGCGTGCTAGAGCTGGACTGTTGAAGGTAGCTCCCACCAGAACTCATGCTCGACTTGTCGTATTCGGAAATGTACGCATCCAGAGCAGCAGATGCAGACTGAAACATCTTACTCTGGAACAGAATCGAGGATGAATTCCTCGAATGAGTGGATCCATGTCTGGAGTTTGATGACAGGAGGTCTGTAAGCGTTGTCGTCTGGGACATGTTGAGACTCCGTTGGGAGGACCGCTTATCCGATGCATCTGCCATGGATCACAATGGCGTAAGACCGCATTCACCGACTGACGGGGTCCCTTTTCAGGAGGGCCACAGTTCTGAATCGGTACTGCCTTCACACGTCAGCGCAGCTGTTTGGCAACAGTGGTGTCCGCGTTACGGTATGTTGTCCCGGACAGAACACCGGTCCAATGGAATGGCTGGAAAACAAGCGATAAGTGGCAAATGAGTGGGTAGCAGTACGAAAGAAAGAAGGAACATCTTATGGTATCAGTAAAGTGTCCTGCTGACCAAGAATGTCCTTGAAGGTACACAAACTAAATGGATCGGTGGAATTCACCTTTGTTCCTTTCGCCAAAACCAATTACACACTGTATCAAAGCGTACCACAACAACGCCGTATTCATGTTGGCCGGTTCAAAACTCTAATTTGAGGAGGTCTTGACATTGTTCCACCCTACTTTAGTACAAGGTTATCAAATGTATACCAGTTGTTCTTTGATTTACGGTATGGTGAAAAATGTTCAAACATTGACTACCACTCTCCCACTATTGACTTAACGACCACCTTTGTTTGAGCATTTTGGTTGGTACAAAGTCTTAGTGCAAGTTGCAGGACCACCAGACTGGCGCCGGGGGGAAACGTACCAGTTCTTCAGATCTTTGGGTGGAGTCACACATAATGATATATCAATGAAAGCTTTGCACTTAGACTTCTGACTTCCGAATGAACAAATAACCTGTCAGGTAGTGCACTTTTGAACATGAAATTTGATACTATGATCAACCCTTCTGACGTCAGACAAACCAACGCTGTTTCAAACACATGGATCTGAAACTATGCAAAACCATGTTGGTCACCTGCAGGCTAACTAGAAAAGCATAATCAGCAAAACTTTCTGCCAATCTTTCATATAACATTGTCATGTCATATTAACATTACAATGGCAACCAATGTCTGCTTCCCCAGAAGATAGTTGCAATGAAAAAAAAGATTGCCAGCAATAGCAAATCTTAAAGCTTTGTGCAACTTACATGTATGCTAGATCTACATGATCATTCTGTACATAATCAAATAATCTACATTGTATCATGTTCTTAATTAACTTACCTGCACATTTTCTGCATTTTCAGCTTGCCTTTACAACCAATCCTGGCCACTTTTCCTACTCAAATCAATATTGGCTGAAAGTATGCCTTAAATAAATCAACTAACCTCAAGCTTACATGCATACATACACTCTTTCAGGATCTTTAGGAAAGTTGTCAGACAAATCCTACCTCAACTTAACGCTGATAAATAAGATAATCTTCTGGCAAACTGTAAAAGGCAGGGTTCACTTATAATCAAAGCTTTGCACAAAAAGCTGCCTGATCATTATACTGTAATGACCCTGAGCAAAAGCTACAGACATTCATGAATACTGGGGTGCTTCGAATCTCTACAGGTGGTTCTTGAAGAGTTACCCTAAAATGTACGTACCTGTCCTGCCGTTGGCTCAATACCCGACTGGATTGTCCGACTAAATGGTTCCCAACGGTCTTGAAAGACTTAGTCTCAACATAATTTTGAAAAGACAGGCCCTTATTGTTAATCCTATGGCAAACAAATGAACACCCCCCACTAATCCATTCACAAACATGGCCACAATGTGGACAAGGCGTGATGACACAACCCCAATATACACAGAGCTGAAAGTAACCAAACTTCGTGTTGGCGTCGGGGGCACGTTTCCTACCATACAGAATTCCGTCTGTCTCCAAAAAGCCTATTGAAGCACGTATGTTCTTGTCATTGCTAAGTCACAAACATGTCTACAGTTAGCTCTCTTTTCTTCGCTGCATGATCTGGTCAGGTTAGTACTGCCACTCCTATAGTTACGTCAAAACATCAGTGATACCATGTAGCCAGACTGCTTTCATACATGTATTAAGGTTATCAAGTTAACGGCCATCAGGCCAACACACACAAAAATCTTCTATTTACTCCCCACTATTTGTTACATTCAGCCATGGGCAGCAAATACCAAATAGAGAGGTTGACACCAACATCTCAGCCCATTAGTGTCAACCAACACAGGGAGTTACCAGGGCAATGTTGACCGTACCAAATCTATACTGACAAAATGTGACTTTATTAAATACCAAACCTTCTTGCATGGTAGACGGTAAGTCGGGTGGCATGTTGGGTAGTTAATAGTTCAGTCATGCATCATTTCATGGGTACACAGGGTGAGTAGGACCACCGATCACAAGCACACACATTTACCACCCGCATTCTCACCTCTTAATTTAACCAAATACAACGTGTGAATATTGATGATTCGGTAATGGTTCCACATGAACATGTACAAGCAAACAGTACATACTAGTACATTCCTTCTGAAGGGATAGATTTATACTGGGTTGCTCTCAAGTAGGCTGTACTCTGGACTTTGACAAATTCAGGCTAGGACCATTGTATTCCATTTGCTGCAGTCTGCTGGTGAAAGTCACATTGCACGTATATTGTGAAGCAGGCTTGTTCAAATCGTGAAGACGACTGAATGATGCTGACATAGACTACGGTTCTATATACTTCCCTAACAGACTCGAACATGTCATTACAGATGTGCTAACACGTTAATGTGTTAATACACTTTCTCGCCATTAGTCTATCGATGTTATCAGCAGGACCACTCTATAATTGATTACTAATGATTTACTTTCCCATCAAAAACAGAGAGTGCTGGGAAGTTTTGAGTGGACAGGTGTGATAACCTCTACTGATGTGTCCACAGCTAATAGGGCCAGTAAACAACTCAAGCCATCCGTAAACAGGTGAACAAAGCCTGCACAGCCAATTACATGGTTGGCAGCTGAGATGTTCCGGACAGGTGGCGGTGTATGTAACTGTACTGGACACTGGATGGGTTCAGATGACCCATGGCAATGTCCAGTAACATCTATGATTAAATGTTCCCTGAATTATAAAAAAGATGCCTTTGAATATCAATAAAAACAACTGAGTGGAATGGTAACTGATGGTTCAATGCTTCTCCAATGAACTACATATTATGTACAGGCACTAAGGAAACCTTCTAGAAGTTCTCTGATGAGATAAAATGGAAAAGAAATACATGTGTTGAGCAATTCTCTTACATTGTATAACAGAATCTATGGTGGAAAAATATAATTCTACTTATGAGTAAGCTTTGATTTACATGTACATGTACACCACTATACATGTGTTCCTGAAGCAACTTTCTATGTCATGTATAATGCTGTGATGAGCAGCAGCCAGTCAGAGGATTGGACAAAGAAAGAGAACTGCTGTTTTAGTGCAATCATTTAATCCTTTAATGGTACATCATTACTTTTGCCAGAAGGTTAATGTTTTTGGTAGCATTTGTATGACTGTGTGTATGGCATGTACATTCCTATGATCTTATCATACTGTCAAGGATTTTTGAGTGTCAGTCATCTCTTTTCAGTGTTTCCTAACATGACATGCAAACCATTAAATACTAAGCAGTGCTTCCCAGCTGCAGGTCCTATATAATGGACCTGGGAACAAACTTTTAAAAATGTATCATCTCACCTTTCCCTGTGAATGGAGCAATGCAACAGTACAATACGTACCTATTGCTAGCTCCCTGTAGAAAGATTCAAAATGAGCTAACATTAGAGCACTCTCTCTCTATATATATAATATTATATGGCTGGGACCTACATGTAACCCACTGATAACACTGGGATGTCCTGATTGTTGATTTGAGCATTAGGCAGATGTTGAAACAATATGGCTCCAATAATCCAGTAAGAGGGAACAAAACATAGCATTTCCATTAGCAAATGGGTCTTTAATCTGTGGGATTATGAAGTGACTGCCACTTTTTAGCACATGTATGATACATGACTACAAATTTTGTTTTCTTTAAAGGAAGGGGTATATGCAATATTAGAATTACATACTCAAGTCTGGTAGCTTAAAATGACAGTTCTATCAAAATGCCCTAGGTACCATATTTATCAATATTGATTACTTGATAACATTCCAATAGACATATTCATCTGTCAAATTTACTGCACCATCAGTAATATTCAGTATACATTGCTAGGAGTAATTTTTTTTCTTTTTCTACTCCTAAAGCAAAGTCATACACTGTACGTACACATGTACATTTTCATTTTTATGTATTATACTGTATCTTGACTAAACGAACGATGTGATATGGAATGGTCATTCCATTTTCCTTCATTTTACTCATGGATTACCACCCTGGTAAGAATCCTACTTGTAGCTCTACATTTCTTTCTCAAGAAGACTTTGTACATTGTAGTATCACTTTACATTTTACTAAGTTTATCTATCTTCTGCCCTTCAAAGCACAGGTCTACCTTTAAACTAGTGTGACTAGGAGTGACATGGGGGGGGTAGTTTGTGAAGGTTTGTATCAAAACAGAATGACATTTAATGAAAGACCTATTGTCTGCCTATGCTGTGAGGAGTTAATCGTTCTACTACAAGTCAATCTGCAAACTTATGCCCCCTATCTACAATACCTGGTACTGCAACCTAGATACAGGTGCACAAAGTCATGTACCATAGATCTGCATTATGTATGATACAGCTTTGAAAGACTTTTTTGTACATTTTCGAAAGATGATTTGTCAATACCTGCTTCGTTTCTTTCTTCTACTCCTTTCAAACCAGAAACAAAGAAGACAATTATAGCCATTTTGTTTGATCTCACTACTCTTGACTTTAAGTGGTTGAGTTCTAGGATGGAACAAGCTTAAACTATGCCTAGGCTACACATGTATGTAAGCAATATGATTACATAGGAAACTGTTCAATTTACCCAATCCCTTTGTTGTAGGGTAAAAGGCATTTCCTCAAAGCCTGCCTCTCCCCGACAGGTGTTTGAAAGGAAACATCAGGTGTGACCACTGTGAGTAGAGAACTAATTGAAACGGTTGGTGTGGAAAAACATGTCAGGATCTAATTGCAACTACATGTACATGACATAACCTTTTCAAACTGGATGTTTCTATTAGATACACTGCTATTTGGAGAGAAATACAGACTTGAACACATCCTAAAAACAAGAGTTTTAGGCTGCTTTAAACAGTACTCAAGATGAGCAGAGCATAACTGTTTATTAATACAACTGTTACATTAAAACAGCAAAATTAAAAACAAGCAAACAATATTTCCACTGCCACTCCCAACTAGTATATTAACTACTGGTGCTTTCAGAGATTTCTCCTACCTGCAATGGGGTAAAATCCTTTTAAACTAGAGACTATTTTCTGGGTCTTATGGTTGACTGTGTGCTGATCTCATTAGGAGTTTTGCAGACATTAGCATGCCACTTAATCTGAACTGTCACTCTGTAACTGACACATGAAAGGGCCCGACAGGTGACTGCAGCTAAACATCATCTGGTACATTTGTAGGGAGGTATAAAATAGGTAAGATCCAGTTTAAAGTATTTGTCAAACACATACCCATTACTAGTAGTACTGGTATTCTTCAATAGGAACTTAAGGACAGGTAGGACAAGCAGATTCTATGGATCTGTATAAACAGTGAGTCCTATTACATGTACATGTATATACATGTATGATCTTTTTACATTGAATACACAACCCTGTGACATAACAGGCGGTGAGGGCTTTTCTCTGAATAAAACAGAAATACAAGCTGTTGCTCAAATCTTGGAAGGATTTGAATATGGGATATTACAGGTGCATTTCTAACCCATCATACATGTACGTACATGTATAAATATTTCACTAATTTACAGTGCAGCTGTCCAACAGAACTACAGCAACAGCGCTATAATCATATGTAGCTGCGTCATGGAGGGGTGTGTTTTCCTGTTGGGGCATTGACAGTGCAATTATTCATTAAGACTAAACAGAAAAAGCTTTCGTGCACAACTACTTCAATGCAAACAGCCTCATTCTTCAGAAGCCTAAAAATTCCTCATAATATAATTGTTCAATCAATGACTTACGGGCTCATGAAGGAACAAGTTATTGAAACGAATGAGTACAAACCTGCTGAGGTACACCCTGGGACAGGCTGTCACTGTATACATAATGGATTATATCTTCTGAGCGCTTATAAGGAAATGCTTTTGCCGTTCTTATTCAAATTCCCAGGATTTACATACAAGTAAAGCATGTGTGAATCACAACAACAAAGTTACGTTGTAGAGGCAGGAAACGGTTTAAGCGAAAGCGCTGCATGAAAATAAATTTCCGGTACGGTGACCAACGTTCGCTTCTTTGAGTGCCTTAAAGCATCCAAATCTTGTAAAAAATTTGATCTTCAATAACAGTTCACTAACTGACACACAGACAGCCAACATCATTTTGCTATACTTGATTTACATTTAGCAAATCATAAGAAAAATTAAGCTTTTTCTTTTAAAAGCCTAAAGTTCTGGCATCCTCACAAGCTACATGAGGCTACCATGTAAACACAAAGGGACTCGGCACATCAATGCGCAGTTTCCAAACTAAGGTATGGCACGAATGTACCTCGAGAATAGATGGAAATGAAGACATTAAATTAAATGACAATCACATTTAAACAAATAGACTTTGGGGATTGTTCCTAATGCTGTAATGGGTCCCACTGTGACAGTTGACAGAGGCTTCCTTTTTGTCTTTTGACCTCTTTTTTTTCAGGGACTGAGCAACATTTGAAAATCTGAGTGGACAGCACTTCGAAATTTTCCAAAATGCAGGGTAAGTTGTCCTATTTAATTTATTAAATACCCGGCACTCAAAATTTAAAAAAAGTTTTTTTTGACCGAACAAAACTTGAGATGTGCCAGTAAAATGGCTAAAAAATTACCGTTAAGGTCCTTCACATTCTTTCAGAAATGTGAGATGTTGCCAAAATTTTCCTTGTCTGCTTAACTGCTATGATGCAGAACGTTTGTGCAGCTACAATTACTCCACAACAAGTTACACTGTATATTGTCAAGGGGAGGTTGCTGTTTACAGTATTTCTAGTCAGTTGAACACTGACAGCAAATAAGGACATACAGGATAGAGTGGAAAATACATTGCAGTCTTGATTTCTTCTAGATCTGAAAGTGAATCTTCTGAGTTTATGGGTGATCGGTACATATTTTAATACATACTGCAGCAATCACATGAATTGATAAAACAATTTTCAAATCTTTAACAACAAACATTTTGACAGAACTTGGTACACTGAAATATAAAATTATAGCAGATAAAAAAAAATTGACTCACAGGACACAGGACACACTCACACACAGGAAAAACAGTCATTTGATAGACCTTTCTACAGTTTCTCCAGATATTTGCCTTTCAGGAAAATGTTGTTTCAGAAAGGCCATGATGTTTTCAGAAATAACATTTTCAGATAAAAAAACAAATTCTAACAAATTAAATGCTGGTAGTGAGTCAAACAGTAAACATTAACAAGTTTTAACAGTTTTAAATGTATATGTACACTATTAGATGCATGGAGATTCCATTCAATGACTGGAACCAACTCTTAGTTAATTAGCCTTTTAGATGTAAACTTCAACAAAAGCAAATGGCTTCCTTCATTATTGGTTTGGGGACAACAAACAAAATGGATGGCTCACGGTGACTTTTATTATATTAAAAGAAGACAGATGAATAGGGAGAGAGCCAACAAAGGCAATAAAAATCCTTCTAATGAGGTTTCAGTCTTAAGTGAGATAACAGACCTCACAGGATAGATACCTCCTATAACAGTTGATTTCCTTAAGCAATTAAGAAACACTGCTTCAAAAGTGACCAGAATGGTGCCAGTCATAGAGAGGCTGGTAATATAAACACTTTTAATAGGAGCATCTTCCTCTGCACCCTAACAAAGAGACAACCTGGCAGGATTGGGACATATGATCCATTTTACAAATTGCAAACAATGGTAGAGCCTCCATCTGGAGCAAAGTTGATGATAACACCTGTATCATCAGAAGTGACACCAACAACATGTGTACATAAGGACAGAGTGCAGATCTAGGCCCAAGATAATCACGAGGAATGTCCAGTACGGTTACCTGGCCACATGTAATTTTTCGAGAAGAAAGATACTTTGGTGTCAGTAGTTACATTGTACTTCTTTGACCTGCTGCAATACATTGCTGGGAGAAGTTTACCCCTGCTGCCTAACCCCACATGTATAACTGGTACAAATTTGATCCAGTCAGAGGAGCTAACTGTGACCTGCAGAATTCTTACCTCAGCTTATATGTTAAGCCAACCCGTTGCCATCAACCAGAGATCAGGGATTTGAGTGTCAAGTTTACTCAACAATCTGGCACCTACCCTTGCAGGGCAAAGTTCAAGGCTGTCAAAACTGTTGAATGTTATTCAATTTCAAGCTCTGGTCATGATCGGGAAGTCCGGCAAAGCTTAAAAATTGCACTTTTCTGATTGTAACTAAGTACCAACCAGACTGTCTATTCATACTCCACAGATGCTGGATTTAAGCGTGTTCCTTGTAATACTCAGGGTTGGACTAGTCCCATTGCCCACTTGCCCAGGGCAAGTAAAAGTACTGTTCGGGCAAGTAAATTTCCCCCTGTACTTGCCCGATTGGGCAAGTAAATTTTTGGGATGTGGCATTATGCCCCAGTGTTTGGAGCAAAATCTCTCATCATTTTCCCATTATGTATTCTCATAATATGACTTTTTATCAGGGAACCATTTGCAAGTCTCAAACCTCCTTACTTTGGAAAATATTGGTCAAGCACAGAACAATATAAAGTGCTGAGTTTACTGAAAAAATTTCTTTGCAGTAAAAATTTATATTTTGCATTGGGCAAGTGAAAAGTTGGTTCGGGCAAGTAGAAATGACCATGTACTTGCCCGATGGGGCAAGTGGATTTTTGAAAACTTGTCCAACCCTGCGTATAATTTAATTAAAGCAGTTGATGCCAATTTAGCTGAACTGTCAATTTATGGATGCTTAATATAGTTTTATTTCAAGCCTTTAATGTTGCTAACTGTTCTGCTTTAAGGAACATGTGTGACAGTTACAAAATGCAAATCTATTTTGACTTACCCGGTACCTTAGCTCTGCAACAGGCTGGATTTCTTTGTAATTGGATTATAATCAAAATCACAGCTTAGACTGATGAACTCTACCTTTACCTAAATGTCAGGAACATTCCCAAACTTACCAAAATGACTTGCATCTCCAACTTTTTCAGTCACTCTGGAAACTTCCTCTCAAACAGTGCCTCTACCTCACCTTGCTTGGAAGTAGGTTGTAACATTTATACCTGTTTGGTTCAAAAAAAGAGAGCGGCAACTGTTACAGCCCGTCACGCCATGCACAGATCAAATTGAGGCAACCCCATTACACAGCAGTATCGGATGCTCTCCTCCCAAACAACAAGCACACCAACAATTGCCAGCGGCTTTGTTAGGGGTATCAGCTTCGCCCCCGGATTGAAGTTTATCCAAATGAGTCAAAGACCCCTTGTGTATAGTACGGATACATGGATGGCCACAATGTTAGCAGTAGATCACTTTGCGGCGGGTCATGATCAGTTGAGAAGGCAATGAACCATACATGTTCTGACCACATGATGCCACTCTTGCTGTTCTAACATTTCAAAAGAACATTGATTTTAAAGTTGTTAACACTGTACAAGAATGGTCTGGTCAGACTTAGTACCACATACGGGTCATAAACTACGAATATGCTTTGTAATGTTGCGTGTATATGTATCTATACAACCATTATTACCAAAACCTGCCACTAAACACAACCCCCAACAACATTTGCTTTAAATAAAATCAAAATATTTGTTATATTATGTCTCAAGTTGTATATTTTATGTAATTTAGCAATTTTTGTATATTTTATGTAATTTAGCAATACAACATTGTGTTGCTAACTATAAAGGTGAGCTTAAAGAAAAGCTCAATTAACAAAATTCACAATCAATTTACATGTAGATACAGTGCATCTTAGTAATAACAAAATCTTGCAACATAATTATTTACCATATAATACTATACTGTTAAGTTTACTGCAACTTCACAGAGGAATGAACCTCAGATTTTTTTTGTCTGAAGTATTGGCCATAAAGCAGAGGCTTCTGGTACAGGCACACAACCGTTATAATCCCTATTTGCCATCATTATTACCGTTACAGGATTATAAAACAGTCTACTATACCTGCACTTAATTGTTTCCATGCTGGGGTTAGGCTCTGTCCTCTTTCAAGTATTTGAGGTACATGTTTGCTTGCCCATGTGCATGCCACAAGAAGTATTCTTTCACCAGTGTGAAGTATTTGACCAATTAACACTTTTCATCCTCAAGTACTCTTGGGGATCAAAGCGAGGCCAAAGGTGTGACGTGATTACGCCTAGTGACTCAATCCCGCGCTATCAAATCCTTGACATTTACGTGGACAAGATTTGATTCATACACATGATTTATAGCTACTTTAGACACTGTACAACTTTATCAATTGATGGAGTGTTGCACTGCTGATGCTTTTAAGGAATTTTGGAAACAGCTGGGCTGACCCTGAAATACAATGAACTTTACAGATTAACCTGTTAGTAAAAATAGTCCTTTATTAGCATTAAACTGTGATAAAAAGAAAAACTGATTAGACTGACACCTAGTATGTTGACCAAAGCAAAAGAACAAAGGCCTTGCATGAGGCCGCTGTTACAGTTTAACTTTTGTGCTAAAAACATATTTGCTGACAGCCTGTATAGAATTAATTTCATTCCTGTGTACATTGCCACAGTCATCGATAATTGATGACAAAAAGTAATTGGAAGAATACGAGCAAGACTTTGGTCTGCGCGATAATATTGCTATCATGGCACACAAAACACATTTCTGGCTATTGACACCTGTTGTTAGGCAGCTATTCTTCACAATATTCCCAAATTAAAAAGAACTGTTGGCTCATCTGTTTTGTGGCCATTTGAATGATTTTCTCATTACATAGACACAAATGGCCCATTAACACTGAGCAAAGATAAAAATCACAAAATGTAAGATAACAATGCTGCATCTTTGGTATGACTTTGTTGTAGTTTTGTTTTTCTAAAGTACCTTGGTAACAGACACAAGAACATTTTCAGGTGTTCTACTGGTGGAAATAAATGTACATTGAATCATACGTAAAATTTGATGGATCCCAGTATGAGCTGAAATTTCTTAAAATAGATATTGCTTTAGCTTTTTAAATCGACAACAATTGTGTATTTGGCCACACTATTTGCTTGTCTGGTTTACGAGTACATGTATATTTATCTACCAACAATACCAACCCTCAAAATGTTAATTCAAATACTTGAGCTCTGACGTACAAGGCATTGTCTGTACAGAGCAGGTCTTACAGTAAAAAACTGTTTCAACTGTCAAAACTCCTGTCCATTGAAGTTGCATTTAAGTGTTATATCACATGAAGTACATTGTATGATTTCGACAAGAAAAAAAAAATGTTATCTGACATGATTGTAGATACATGTATTCTAAATGGTAAGGGCTGCAGGATACTATACCCCAAATATGGAAATTTTTGCAATGGCTTTCTTTGCACTGCAAACATGTATTTGTCTTGCATTGCATTACACTAACTGTAACAGTTATCATAACCACAAACTCAAAACACAGCAAAGACTTCCTTTTCTGTCCTACTGCAAAATTATGCTCAAATCAATTTAGAGTATCACAACTTCAAAAAAATGCTTAAAGGTAAGATCTAACCTCAAAAGTTGCTGGGACTTCTAGAAAGGAACAAGAATTTAGCAGAAGCAGACATAATTATATAGAGTTGTCAGAGGTGTTATTATAACCGATTAAGTAAGTCACACTGTTTATAATGAACTGAATGGTGACTGAGCATGCCCAACGGCCAATTAAACCATTTGAAAGTGCTTGTGTCAGGTCTATTTAATATTGGTGCAGAGACTGTGTTGTCTGAAGGATTAAGGCTTGCACGACCAGACTATGTCCATGGTTACCCCGCCTCTACATTGAAATCAGTGGCGCCTATAAAGATTATAATTACTTCTAAAAGAGTAAAGGGGCAAAACGCAGTACAGACCTGTATATTAAAGGGTTTGCTAGATGCACATGTCAGAACATTTCTTGTCAAAGTCTTCAAATGTTTAATATACTATTGTCAGCTGTGGACACAATAGAACACAAAAGGAATACCACTTGCAGCAAGTCAAAGCACGACTATAAGGGTCTGTAGACAGATTCAAAGCACCTAGAAGCCATAGATACATACAACAAGATAGGAATGTTTCATTAATAATGAGCCAGAGTCGACTTATCTACCCATAACACCCAGCTTGCCTTAAAGTCATAACAACATGGACTACATGCTAAGATCAGATGATAGCAAACCGGTTTTGATGGACATGTTTTTACCATTTTATCAGAATCTCAGCTAAAACGTACAAATCAGAATGTTCTGAAGGGCTTTGTAAATTGCAAACACTGGGCCAAACAGAAAAAATAAGTGACTTTTTTGAAGACATTTCAAAGCCTAATTCAGTAATGATCAATGCTAAATGATCCACTACAATGTATGTGTTGTTCAAAGACTGTTCCATGCAAATTTAAATGGTTTTTGTAGAATACAACCAACCTAGATAGATCTACTGTGGGTGTGTATGTACAGTTTTACAAAGATGTCATGACAATTTTTCATAATGGGCATATAAATGTTAGAAGTAAGTGTTTTACAAAAAAATGTAGTAATGTCACTCTCAAATAACCAACATGTAATCATAATACTTTAAAGATGCCTTGCATTTGGAAGATCACGGATTTTGACCCCGGCCAGGTCATACCAAAGACTTTAGAAATGGAATATACTGCTTTCCCTGCTTAGTACTCAGCACTTTAAAATCAATAATATTATGTTACTTCAGTGTCTATAATTTATAAACAGCTTATAATTCATGTAGATGTGAAAGGGACTGTTGAGGCTGATACTGTGTATGATGAAAGTCACCGCAAAACTATAGATACCTTACATAAACAGAGGAATGTTTGTTCAAAAGGCAGGGGGTAGTGCCAAGATATCTCTTGTCCCAACATCACATTATCCCTTAAGCCTTTGTAACACATAAGTAGATAACATGTCTGAGATATGATGATGGTAAAACTCATTTTAAAGTTTTTATTATTCTATCTCAATGTCAGCTGGAATATCTGGAATAAATCAGATTGTTTTGAATGGACTAAAAGAACAAAAAAAAAAGTAAGGGGCTTTTTTGTCTGGTACTTTTCACAGAGTCCACAAGCAAGCTACTGTAAATCATGATTTTTTTGCTGTACTTTTATATTCACGATTTTTGCGTTCACTTTTGTGTTGCGAACTACCATGAAAACATAATTCACCAACTTTCTTTTTGCTGCAACTGCTGCCACCGTGAACGTATACAGTTTTGTAGTTCTGCAAACATGTACATTTTTCTCAGACTGGGAACTTTTGCTACGTCGAACATAAAGTGATTTACAATATTTGCTGGTTTAAACCAACCAATGAATTTCTTACCACGGTTAAATCAATAAGTGATCCCACATAACTTACATGTATATGTCATTTAATGCATCTGTGAATTATCTAAAGATTAGGCTGATAAATTGTGTAGGCATCCTGAAAATGTACGTAGGAAGCACCCATAGCAAACAACAGTGCAGATTAAATAACATTAATTCAGACTACAAAGCTGATGGAGACAAGACAGACATGTAATTATCACTCGACTATAAACACAAACAGGACACCTCACCTGTCTTATCTTCTTGGTGGGAATTTCTCCTTGATGACGACAAAATGCAGAGATACGTAAGGGGTCAGCACAGAGCTAAAACTAGAGAAGGAATAATAATGATTTCAATCATATTAATCATCGCTTCAGCCATTTAGATCTCATCATGAATGATGGGGTAGTATAACATCATGGTGAAACCTACGTAAGTTACAAGAATTGTACAAAAATAAAACGTATGTTTAACTTCATTTAAAATAATAAAGATTGTGACTTGCCTTGCAAAAAATGGAGAGATGAACATTTTTAGTGAGTGACAATACTACAAAAATAATGTAAAAATAACTTGACAGTTGAAAAATCCAACTAGGAAAAAAAATCATTTGGTGACAAAAAACATCTATTGGGACAATGTTCTAATAACCTGGCATCATCTTGTAAGTTTAACTTAGTAAGAGACCTATCCTGGGATACTACCCATATTACCCATTATGTATCTTCGTAAAGATTAGAGTTAGTAAACCTGCCTCTTCCACACTCACATGTACCGGGCGAGGCCAACAGTACTGACATTGCCGAACATCAGCCAAACACAGCTTAGAAAAGATGTACCAACAAGGTGTTCATGGTTTACCAGAGGAGCTGGAGCAGGTGACTGTTACTGTTGCAGTTAAGTACCACTATGTTCATCCCACATTCAAACTTAACTTCTCACCAATAAACTGATGACTGAGCAGTTGCTATGAATGTGTAAACGTTACCTACACAAGAGCCAGTTGAGACAGATGATGGATGGAAGCCCATTCCTCAAATTCTAACCTTCAAATCCTGTTTGAATGGTGGTTTCAAACGCTTCAAAATTGCACAATAAAACCTGTATCGGCTCAATTTATCAGCTCTTAAGTGCATTTAACACATGGCCACAGTCCATGATAGCTCCGGACCTGGATCACAATGCGAATACAGGTGTAATAAAACAGGATTTACCCCCGTAACCTAGGCAAACCCTCCAGACCTGTGGCATCTGCTGGAAGTCTTTGGGAACTGATTGCGCCATTTACCATGACATCACTGACCCCCATGAAATTGTTATAATGCTATCCAACCTTT